CCTTAAGGTCTGCAGCATCACTCTGATTTACGCTGCTCCAGGGAAGCAGGAGCTGGGTTTCCTGGTGTCTGAGAAAGACGGGATGTGTGGAAAGCAGGATKTACTCCCCATCCTTTGGGACTGTGTGTGTCTTTGTAGTTCTTGTGGTGCATGTTGTGTTTTCCATGCTAATTTTGCGTGGGAAAGGCTTAGAGTGTCCCATAAAATGAAGCTTCATGTGACTCATTTCCTTGCAAATCAAAGAGGAATTATGACCAGAGGTGGGAAATTGTAGTCAAAACCCTTTTCTGCCAGGTGATACAAACAGGAGTACAACATTCACATTTAATTTGAATATACCAGGTTAGTTTAGCAAAAATAATACTGGTGTATAGGAAAGTCTAGAAAGAGTCCTTTCTTTTACCTTTTGAAAACTGAGTAATTTAATTTTAGCTTTAACATGAAATAAAACCCCCACATCCTGAAAATGAACTGAGCAGTTCATGTTCAGTTAAGCATTTGATTTGCAAAATATGTATKCATAGGAACAATTACTTTATTCTGTTCGGAAAGCAAGAACATTTTCCATTTGGGGTCTCTCTGTAACTATTTTTAAAATGTGGAGGAGGGGATTTAGTCAGCAAATGYGCTTTCCATTTCCCTGCCAAAGAAAACTTGCAACTAAAAATCTGATTTTCTCCCAGTGATGGTGAGGAATGCAAGCTTCATTGCACCCAGAAGCTAATTCTGTGCATTGTATTTATGTCCACTGAAAAATTTTGAATGTGGGTCACAGACTGAGTTAGTTTAGGTCCCTGAAAATCTGCCTCATCGCAGCCTTCTCATTTCCATGCTCTCACCTAAAGAGTGTCACCCTCCTGATGATTTTTCTGGGCTTTGCCTCTTTCAAGAGCTAACAGCTGCATCACTCTCCAAAGAGGGTGTTACATGCATCTGTGCTTCTCTTCCAGCTTTGGCAAGCTAAATACATGGTATTCCCAGTAATGCCTGGCCTATGACTTTGCTTTGTAGCTATTAATAGCTGTTAGTGGAGGATTCTAATATGAGATTTCCACAACAGGTGCATTATTTTGACTATTATTTGATTTATCCGTCTTCCTGACATCTGTTGGCTTGGCAACCTTTTRGCAGAGAGGGAAGAAGTTCAAACACAGTTGCTTACTCCTTTTCCTGTAGTGAAGAAGTGATGTTGCAGAGATGAGAGCCATCAGGTGGAGACATCCAAGTGTTGTCCAAGGAAGATGGGCTGGCAGTTCCTTGCAAGCCCAAATCTAATTTGCAGAAGTTTAAAGGGTCGATTTTTGTGTGGAATACCCAGTATTTCTTACTGTAAGGGCTTCACCCAGCATGCAAGGCTTTGTCTGGTGTGATGGAGTAAAGCGTTCAAGAGAACCACTTGACATGGTGGATTCCTTAGGTTTTTAGGGACTCCTTGCCTACTGCAAATGAGCCAGTCCTGCATGAGGATGCTCTCATTGGAATTTATAGGGCTGACAAAAAACAATCTTAAACCAACATAAAAACTGCTATTATCATGGTTCTTTCTGAAGTTAAACCGCCGCCAAGTCTAAACACTCAGCTATTCATAATGCGACCTCAGGGAAGAATGTGAAGCTTTTTGCAAGTGCTTTGTTTCAGTTTTATTTGTCTTCCGGTCTCTGAGCACTTAATTTGGTGTGAGGATGCATTTTCAAATCTTTCTTTATCCCAGGAGGGAGAGAAAGAGAGTCAAGATCATTATGCAATACTGTTACTCCACAGTTTGAGGTTTTTAAGAAGCACTCGTAGGATTTGTGTGAAGATTTGCAGCAAAGCTGCATGAGTGGGTAATTCACTGTTACACAGTATTTTCTCTTCTTTGTAGTTACTTGGGCTTCCAGATGTTGATGATGATGCATTTGAAGAATATAACGCAGATGTGGAAGAAGAGGAACCAGAAGCCGATCATCAACAGATGGGTGTCAGTCAGCAGTGATTTTTTGGAAGCTATAAAAAAATTCGGAAGCCTTTGGTATCAGGTGGGGTCAGGTGGTCCCATGTTGGCCTGTTCGAATTAGCACATCTCAAGGGGATATCTGGCTGCCAAGAAAAAAGTTTTACAAAACATGGTTTTTAAAATAATAATAATAATTTGTGATGAGCTTTGCTAAGAAGTGACCTGAATTTTGCTCCTGCTTCAGTGGGTTTTCTATGGAGTTGTCTTGGTAGCATTCTGCCATTATCAGTCTAGAAGTAGTTTTGTCGCTGACTTGTCTCTTCGATTTGTGTTCAAGAGTAGTGTTTGCTGACATGAATGTAGAGTACCGAGAATGTAGGAGGCGTGTGGGGAGAGTGCTGAGGCCTCGCCTGTGACCTTTCCGAGGAAACCAGCGCAGAGAGCAAACACCACCTGCGCTTTTCTTTTTAGTTCAACAGCTATAGGTTTGTGACAAAGTACCAAATGTGGAGAGACTTTTCCTGAAAAACAGTCATTTCATAGTGGTTGGTGCTGCAGAAGTGTATATGAAGGCTTAACAAAAATGGTGGGAAGTAGGAGATCCAGGGGGTGTCAGACATATTGATGTTGTTTCACAGACACCTGAGTTTACAAATGCTGAATTAATAACTGGCAGTAACTGGTACCAGCACCACACAGARTAACCAACCCTGGTACTCCAACACAGTGTGATCCAAAGGCAAGTGCTGCTTTCTTACAAATCAGGTGAAAAATAGCCATCGCCTTTCCCACTTCTGCATGACGACTGACTTCAGGCTTCGCTGGTTTTGATACACTGCCAAAATATTACTCAAACCTTGTGGCATCATGCACTAGAATCATAGAATTGTAGATTATGCTGAGTTGGAAGGGACTCATCGGGATCATTGAGTCCAACTCCTGGCACTGCACAGGACACTCCAAGAATCACACCGTGTACCTGAGAGCACTGTCCAAATGCTTCTTGAACTCTGTCAGGCTTGTGCTGTGACCGCTACCCTGGAGAGTCTATTAACAGTGCCCAACCGTGTTCTGGGTGAGGAACCTTTTCCTAATATCCAACCTAAACCTTCTCTGACCCAGCTTCAGGCCGTTCCCTTGGGTCCTGCCACTGGCAATGAGAGTAAAGAGATCTGTACCTGCCCTTCCTTTTCCCCTCCTGAGGRTGCTGAAGACCACAATGAGGTCTCCCCTCAGTGTCTTCCAGGCTGTACAGCTACTCGTCACCAGGCTTCCCCTCCAGACCCTTCACCATTCTTGTTGCCCTCCTCTGGACACTGTCTCATAATGTCTTTACATTGCGGTGCCCAAAACTGCCCCCAGCACTCGAGGTGAGGCTGCCCCAGTGCAGAGCAGAGTGGGACAATCCCCTCCCTTGCCTGGCTGGCGAYGCTGTGCCTGATGCTCCCCAGGACATGGTTGACCCTTCTGGCTCTCAGGGCACTGCTGGCTCATTCAGCTTCTCACTGATCAGGACTCCCAGCTCCCTTTCCACAGTGCTGCTCTCCAGCCTCGTGTTCCCTGGTCTGTACACACAACCAGGGTTGCCCTGTCCCAGGTGCAGAATCCAGCACTTGCCCCTATTAAAATTCATACAGTTGGTAATTGTCTGATTTATTGAGGTCTCTCTGCAGGGCCTCAACTCTCTGCTCCCGAGAGACTTGACAGCTCCTCCCTATTTAGTGTTGTCAGTAAACTTAGTATTTCTTTGAGTYCTGGACCCTGGTTGCTAATGAGATGTTGAAGAGCATGGGAGCAAGGATGGAGCCCTGTGGARCCCCACTGGTGACAAGTCGCCAGTCTGATGTCACCCCATTCACTATAACCCTTTGTGCCCGACCCATGAGCCAGTTGCTCACCCATTACATGGTGTGTTTATCCAGTTGTGTGCAGAAGGATACTCTCGATACAGTATCAAAAGCTTTATTGAAATCCAAATATATTACATCAACTTTCTTCCCTTGGTCAACTAGGTGGCTTACCTTGTCATAAAAGGAAATCAAGTTCAACAGGCAGGATTCCCTTCATGAAGCCATGCAGCTGTGAGCTGTGACTGCATTGTCCTCCAGATGTTTTTATATACCTCCCAGAATAATATTTTCTGTGATTTTACCGGTCACTGAACTGACAGTCTGACAGCCTGTAGTTCCAGGATCTTCCGTGAGTGTAACTTAAGTGCAACTTGAGTGTAACTTAACAATGAAGCCATAAGGGTATCAACCAGCACCTGGCTCTTAAAATTGTGCTGGACCTCTTCCTCTTCCTGGGCCTTTGAGCTAGTCTGGGCATTTTATTGGAGGGGAGCTAAAATACTGCTTCAGCTGATACAAAATCTAATGAGGTTTTACTTATCAGGGGGCTTGCTCCCCGGGGGTTTGGCGAGGGTCTTGCTATAAAGGAGATGAAGACCCCTCGTATTTTATGTCTGTTTTGCATAGTTCGAAATTACTTGAATGAGTGCCAGACTGCGAAGATGCAGGGTCTCCTGGTTTACTTGCCTTTTGTACCGAAAATGTAAGAAGCAAAAGTAATTCTGTTGTAATGCAGCTGTTTTCCACAATCAAGAAAAGTGTTTCTAAATTTACTCCTTTTTYCCAATTTTTTAAAAAATTGTGAAATGAAGGTCACACGCTTCAAAAGCCCTTTTATACAGARTTAGCTTTATAAAAACAAAGAGTGAGCGAAGAGAAAATGCTTGGACAACTCCTATRAAACAACTCGCCTCATTTTGAAAACCCTGTTGTTAACGATGTCTCCTTTTCAATAGATTTTTTTAAGACTCTTTTTCCAGGGTTACTAAAGAGACCAAGTGTTCTTGATGGTTTACATTTGTGATGGTGGCTTGAGAGATGCGCAGCGTATGATTTTTTCAGTCGAAGGCAGAGGTCTTCCATAACTGGGACAATGTGTGTTACCTGAGTCTGCACAGAAGTGTCTGCAACATTGTAAAAGTTAGAGTTTAAGAGTATTTAAGAAAAAAGTGGAAGAAAAACAGAGCTTAATGCAACTTTGTACATTCTTTCAGCATGCAGGCATAAACATGGTAGTCGCAGCACCTTTCCTATGGACTAGTGATGTGAGAACCGTGGCCATTTGTTGTATAACACTGTACAGCAACAATAGGCTTTTTGCTTACTGAAATAAAGTGTAAGACCAGTGGTTTCCATCCCTGCTTTAAGTCCCTAAATTTTTCTTTCCTCTCCAGCTGGGACAGATGCTCTAACCTTAAACAGAGCCTTCCTTTGGGAGAAGCTTTCTCTTCGTAGCATCCCGTCCTTGGGTCGCGTCTCATGGGGCTGACTTTCCTCTGCTCCAGTGTAAAGTGAGCAGTTTGCAGGAGCACAAGCTGGAGGCAAAGTCCTGCTGTTGAGGTTTGCTGMSCACTTGGCACCCGTKTGTTTGAGGGGCAGGTGCTGGCAGYGCCCYGCAGGTGCAGGTGCCCCACACRGCCYCKGGCATGGCTGCWCCGTGAGCTGRGCCRTGGGCCCGGCCCGACGGCGACACAGCCCTGTGCCTTTTGCAGACGGGCATTCTTCCAGCTGGATCAGTCCCTCCATCTGGCTCGGTGTGTGCCTGAGCAGTGTGCTGGCACAGCAGAGGGGAGGGTGCAGGGTGGCCGTGGGCTGGAGCTGCTGCTGAAGGCGCCTTGCACTGTGTCAGGGCCCATGGCGGAGGCGCGCACYGGCCTGGACGCTGTGAGGGATTGGCTCCACAAGGATCGGGGGAACCGGGCTCTGGGTGGCAGTGGGATAGGCAGGAATTCATGAAATGGSCAAAGGCTGTAAGATCCCATGACTGCAATTGCATACAGGAGGTTGTAATGTGCACTGCACTCTGTTCCTTTCCCTGCATATTGGATGAATTGTTAATGAGTGGTTGAGCATTAATACAGTTGCAAGCAAACAACACTGTAAATTATGTAGACATGTTACTATTTTCTGTATTCACTAACTCACTTTTTCTTTGGAATGCCATATGCCATTTGAGTGACTTCCTCACAGACTGCAATTGCTGGACAGCCAAGGGCCCTTCTGCAGCACTCTTCCCTGCAAATCTTCCACGAGCCAGTGAGATTTTGTTCAGACAGGACCTGCAGGACCAGCGGATGTTGAGGCTTGGTCCTGCAGAAAGCTGAGTGCTCTCATCTCCTCCYACTTTGCTAGGAACCGAATGTGTTGAGCGCTGCTGCTGAACTGAAGCGTGACCGGGCAGCACTGAGAATAAACTGGAGTTTTATACATAGAAAAATTAATTTACATGTAATAAATGTGAATAAGCATTGATATAGAATGTATTTTATCAAAAAAAATATTGATTCCTTACTTTGACCAAATACATTTCTGTATTACTGTGTTACTTTTCCTTACTTGCCAAATGATGCAAGAGATGTGGAACTGGTTTGGTTGTACTTGGAAGTGTTTTTTATTTATATTTCATTTGTATTTTATTTTTTTCTCCCTCCTGCCACATACTGCAGTTAGTAGCCATTCAATGATTAATCAGGGATAGCATGGCCCAGTGTCTCAGCTGCCAGACTGAGATACAAGATTTGCCAACACATGCATAAATGCTTGCAAACCTGGGTGCTCAGTGATATGTGAGTTCACAGCTCTGCCATTGCTTGCAAACCTGGGTGCTCAGTGATATGTGAGTTCACAGCTCTGCCATTGCCTTGCCTGAGTTTTAGGTGGGTCTCAGTCACTGGGAACTCAGGGCAGGCCTCCAATTATGCGTCCAGACCTCTGGAATATTTAGCAGGAATTGGATAACTCCTTTGAAAGTCCCACCTTTGGCCTTTTGTAAAAGGGACTGTTAGTATTATTTATCCAGCAGTGTATATAGTGCTTCAGGTCTGTGGGTGAACAGAGATAACACTTYATCATTGTCTATCCTCAGAGCAAACTGGTAATGAAAGGACACAGAAGGGTCTGCCCTTTCCCTCTGCCTTTCCCGTAGGCATTATCATGCTCTAATGAAATCAAACACACCAAAGCAGAGCCTCTTGCAGAGCTGGTGCTTCTGAATATGAGTTGCATGAATGCAGAGAGCAGAGTGCTGCTTGGGTGATGAGAAATACATGGGATGCCAGAGGGAAATGCTGATTTCAGAAATGTGACAACTGCAGGGGCAAGAGTGAGCAAAGCCCCTTCAGAGAGAGAAATGCTGGGATTTCTGAGAGTCCAAACCATCCTGCATACTGAACCATGCAGTTTATAAAAAAGCTTCTCTGGACATTACTGGGGCCTTGAGCTCAGTTGTGTTTTCTTGTTAGTGTCCTGCCTGATTAATGCATTGAGATAGTTGAGGGAGGAATGGATAGAGAAAGCAAACTGAAAARCCTGTTCCTCTTCTCCAAATGATATTGTGTGAGTGGGTAGGAGCAGCCGTCAGGGTGCAGGAAGCTCCTTTTTTAGGTGCATGGTGACATCTCTTAAAAGGACTTGCTGATGAGAGAAAAAGTTGTGAGACTGCTACCTTGCAGAAACAGGGGGAATAGCTCACCACTGAGCACAATGACCTGAACCCCTACCAGATTTCAGCTCTGCCTCCTGCCCTGCTCTGGGCTCTTTTCCAGGCAKTTTCCCCCACCGTGCATAGTGCTGTGCCTTTGAAAGTCACATGCCTGTAAGAATGCCACTTTTCTGGAAATAGCCAGAGTTAGTTTTCCTGCCTCAGTGACATGCATGCCAGCTGCTGCATCTTGTCATTATGTCCCACCTAAGGTTGCTGTGTGAGATGGTGGCTGGGGGCAGTGGGGTAGAGTTTCTGCTGCAACACTGCTTAGTAGGTCCCTATCTTTTCCCCCTCTGCAAGTTGGAACATGAGACTGTGACAGTAAAAACAATTGCAATAACATTGTGGATATCATTTTGGAAAGCTGCCATTCAGGACACATCCCTAGCCTCTTTCAGCATGTTTCCTGATCTTTCTCTGGGATCCAGGGCTGATGTCTGTGGCTGTTTTATTCAACGTTAGCTTTAGCAGTGGCAGGAGGCACAGCTGCATCCTTACCCTGTGTCCATACTTCCCTCCTGTCCATCCTTACCGTTCTGTTCTTCTCAGAGGCTCTCATTCCCCAAAGAAGGGAAGCATAGGAAGGAGAGAAACACCTCTTCCCTCCCACAGCTTGCAGCCAGGCACATCAGTGAAGCTGCAGTTGTGTGTGAGTTGTGCTGTCCTTTCTGTGCAGGGGATGAGCTGGCATGGGAGATGTGCTATCCCTTGAGGACCCATGAGTGGCCCAGGCAAAACAGGGGTTATGCAGAAGACAGCAGTCATTTTGGGTGCCAAACACAGTGTCTTTTCACAGGCAGTGATGTCTGGCCAAATAATCCAGTCTCTGAAAATCATAACCCATTGAGGCTTTCCAGGTTGGGCATCCAGAAAAATGAGACTTGTCTGTTTGCCTGGTCAGTGGGAAGTCTCTCTCAGTGCTGGCTGTTTTCGGTCTGGCCAGAGGGCATGGGAGATTGGGAAAGATTCCTTCAGGGGCATTAGCTGGATGCATCTTTCTGGAAATTGCTGAGCAGGGGCAAATGCTTTGTTTTATGTGTTTAATTCTGGCAGGACCTCCCCTCCTCCCCAGCAGCTTGTCTTCTGCAGTCAGCTGCAGCTGGGAAAGCTTTGTGTGACAGGCAGGCAGGAGTGACTCAGGACAGCAGCTCCTAGACCCTGTAACAGGCTGGACTTGGGGTCATCCTTGCAGAGTAACCACAGAGCAAAAGCCTCAGGGGACATCACCTCCAATGCAGATATTTAAATAGATTCCTTAAATTTGGTCCTTAACCACAATCAGTTGTTCAGTGATCCAGATTATCTTTTACGTGGTATATGTTTAACTTTTTTTTATTGCTGATTTTTTAAAAGAAAGTCCCTAAAGGCACATCTGCATTATTGCAAATCCCAGTTTATACAGAGCTTCATAGCACTGCACTGTCAGTATGAGCTTGGACATATAAAAAATACAGATTAACAGAAAGGGCCTTCATTTGTCTACAAGAAAAAAACCCCAAAGTTCTTTGAACTAGTTATTGCTGACTATAGTGAAGCTCACTGGTTTCATGTAAAATACATTGAACTTTGAAATTCCCTTTCTGTACCAATATGCTGTTGCTCGTGTAGGCAAAGATCTGTGGTAATGCTGCATGTAAAGGAAGCTTTCATCTTCAGGGGTGGTGGTGGTGGAAATGTCAGCTCTGGATTTCAGTAAATGCATTTTTTTTGTCAAGTTTTCCTTTACCAATGCAGGGACTAGTCAGCCCTCAACACATCAAGCAGAAATCACGTTGTGCCACGCCATGCCAAGCCTGTCTTTAGTATGGTTTCTACTATTTTTCTGGCTGCAAGATCTCTCTGTCTTTGGGACTACAAGGCTGTGAAGCGAGTCACCAGAAGTTGCCCTTTTGTTCRGCACTTTCAAGGGTGGAAAGGCAGTGGAGCACTTCCTTCTCTCTGATCCTGCTTCCTCATCTAACACCAAGGCATCAAATCCAGCAGTGTCATTACACCATGAGCTTGCCATTAAAGAGCTTACCAAACTCTGATGACTGATGGTGTCTTTTGTCTGTGAGTAAAATCAACTGGGTTTTGAATTTGTGGGACTAAAACACAGCTACAATGCATGTGGCACAGGGAATGACAGGCTTGATTTTTCTGGGCACTGGTGGTGCATGGTGAGATAACAGTGTTTGCAGTTGTAAGGAGAAGAAAATTATGTCATCTGAGCTTTGGGCACTGCAAAGCCAACCCTGCTGGACCCAGAATCATCAGGTGGTTTGGTTTGGCACAGTCTGAGGCAGTGGGTTTGCTGTCAGAAGCCAAATTATTGATGTTAATATTTGTGTATGAGCCAGTATTTCTGACCTCTCAGGTCCTTTTCTGTTTTGCACAGATTAGGGAGACATCTGTTCTAATTAAGAGACATGTAACAATGCTAAAATGAAAATGGTGATTCTGTTCAAAATAATTTATCTCTTTTCTTTAAACACTTAATTGCCGCTCTGACATCTTCTCACCCTGATTTAGTCGAAAGAGACAAATCAGTTGTTCCCTTTTGTCATGAGCCTCTGTGGATTGATATCCTCCAACCAGTGGAAGTGCTTTAACTTAGCACTTGCCTTGCATTTTTTGCACTCCCCAGGGCATGAGCACTGAGTAGGAGCATGCCCTATGGTGTGCCCAGAACCCCAAGTGCTGCCTATAAAGTCATCCCTGTGGCTGGTGGAGTGCCTACCAGGACTGACTCCCTCATGTTGGACACGATCCTGACCACACAAGCCCCACAGCCTCTTGAGAGACCTGTGCATGTGGTGGAAGCCACTGTGACAATTAGGCTTTGGCTACAGATACAGCTGCCTTGTAGAAGCAGTTCTGCTCCCAAGAATTTCTTCAGCTTCTTGGGGCCTG